TCGTCCTCTTTACTTCTTTTTTGTCATCAGGCTTTTTGGCACTTCCATAAATGATTGAGATAAAAATAAAAGAAAATGGTGAACATTTTTGTATTTTAGTTTGCTACTTTTTCAACGCAAAATGAAACCGGTCTACAGATGCCGGTCTAGATAGGAAAATCTAGACCGCGGTCAATATCGATTTCAGCCAATCAAATTCGTGAATTCGGTAGTTCCCAGTCCTTGTGAGATACAGCCATATAATAATTTTCGTTATTATATAAAACAAATAGATTCCATGTTGCCGTGCGTCTGTTTAGTAATAGATCACAGAAGACGTCAAAATGTGGCTATACACGGTTATACATGGCTATACACGGTTATACATGGCAATACATGGCTATACACGGCTATACACGGCTATACATGGCAGTACATGGCAATACATGGCTATACATGGCTATACACGGCTATACATGGGAATACATGGCTATACACGGTTATACATGGCTATACACGGCTATACACGGCTATACATGGCAATACATGGCTACACACGGCTAGCCATGGCAATACATGGCTATACACGGCTATACATGCTATACATGGCTATACACAGTAATACATGGCTATAAAAGGCTATACATGGCTATACATGGCTTTACATGCCTATACATGGCTAAACACGGTAATACATGGCTATACGAGGTTACACATGGCAATACATGGCTTTATGTAATTATCATGAAAAAACTTAAATTTCTATTATGATACACTTTAATGACCCTAGTTAAAGTACCTACCATCCTTCTCCCAACTAACAAGGAACGCAAGCTCACAAAACGGCTGGAAATCGAGCCTAGGTATAATGGTATAATGGCTCTTATAATCTATCAAATATTCTCGCTTGCGCGCGATTGGTCTAAACACGTCACGTGACCGAATATTCCCAGCTAAAACTGGGGAATTTCCGAGATTATTATTCAACTGCAGCTGCAGTACAAACTGCAGTACAACTACAGTACAAAGATACAGCGATATTGTATAGTTATTTATACAGTAGAAAACCTGTTTGCGTACAGGTCGGCGCGCGCACGCAAAACTGTCACACTCTCCCTCTTTCATTGATAAATTTATTGACTATATCAGTTGGATAATAAATCTCTTATTGGATGTTTTGGTGTGTAGTATCGCTGTATATTTTTAACCGCTGTTTCGCCCTACGGGTTCGTCAAAATACGGCACAACTCGTAAAAATACACAGCGATACTAAACACCAAAACATCGAATAAGATATGTTTATTTCCCAGTTTTTAAAACTGCGCGTGTTGCGACATTATGGACATTATCTGTTCCTCGAAGCTCACAGTTTTCCTCGAGCTACGCTCTCGGAAAACTGTTCGTTTCTCGGAACAGATAATGTCCGCGGACAAATATCCGAACATATTCAGTCGCGCCAAATGGAGGTTATTATTTTTATATACCGTGTTGGCTAAGCCAATGAAAACTCTTGAATTCCGTTATCCAGTGATCCCGTTTTTAATATATTTTATTATCAAAAACTGGATCATTGGATAATGTAATTCGAGAGTTTTAGTTGGCTTAGCCATCATGAGTTTATGAGCCATTATAAACATTATACCATACTCTACAAATATGGTAAGCGTACGCGTGATTTTTTTCAGGCGTCTTTATTTTAGTTTAGTTTTTCTATATTTTGGGGGAGTTTTAATAAAACATTTATTTCACTCGCTGTAGCCAACTCATATCCAACGCGCGCTCGTGGAATAATTGTTAAGGTGATTCCTCTGTATTGCATTGCGCATCCGTACTGTGCACGATTTTCGCGTGATTAGCGCGGGCACATGAGCGCGTGCACGTACACAACGTAACAAATTTCCCTCAAGCTAAGCTCGAAAGCGAAATAAATGCTCGTTCTCTCTGAAAGCATGTTGACCTATATTTTTTGTCGCCTAATGTTGGCGTACAAATTGATATCTTTAAGTAAAAAAAATTGAGAAAAAAATTGTTCGTAAGGAAAAAAATACAGCTAAAATAGTGCACAAAGCTGTTACTCGAGGATGCTAATGATGACCTTGAAAACAACGATTCGAGGAACGTTTTGAGTCGATGCCGTTTAGAATTGACTGATTTTTCCATAAATTATATATTACATTGTCCGTGTGTCCGAAACTTTCTACCTGTCAGTTTTTTTTCCAAGTATTGCTTTAATAACCTTTGCTTCCAGCCACCACAAAATGTAACGTGAACTGATGAAATAACATTCGTGGTTAGGCATAAATGGGGTAAGACTGACCCATCATATCTCTTTAACGAGCATGGTGACCTATCCTTTTTATTGTACATGTAGTTTTCGAAACAGTACTTGGCAGGGAACATTCAGGAAAAAGTTTCAATAAAATTGTTTGACAACTTTTATTTCTGAGGAATCACCTTAATTGACCAAGTGCGAGGGTTGAACTGGGAGAAAATATATCGTATGGATCAGACCTAGAACAAAAAGAAGAATCTGTTATAGTTAAAACAAGTTCTTTCATAGACGTATTGACGTAACAACCAAAACATCTTCAAGAGTGATCGTCCGAGATCATTCTGTACCGGCAATGGAGCAATCTGATTGGTTGATTTTAGTTATCGGTTCTTCTTCGGAAATCTTCGGTAAGCCAAAAAGTTCGGAAAAAATGTTCGGAAAAGAAAAATCGAGAAACGCCCCGTTCTCGCAGAACTGCGTGTTATAATTATCCTCGCGAGGCCATTACAAAAACGTTTTATGGTCTGTAGACAAGAATGTCGGAAACAGTGACAAGACATGATTGGATTTTACAGGGCTCAGTGTTTTTGAGATGACCTTATCAGACATGGGGCTGATTGACACATCCCGGATCACTAACTACGTCAAGGGTTTCACACATATCAGTTTCGCACGTTTTACTTATCGCAGGGAAGAATTGTCTTCAGTACGAACAAGAACCTCGTTAAACAGTCGATTTGGGGTGAACATTATTGCTTTAGTAAGGTAGGGTACTCTCTGACAATGCGTTGAGGGGAACTTTGTGAGTTTAACAAGGTCAACAATGATGTATAAGCTTTTAGTCGCCGTTGCTGAATAGAAGATCGATGCACGCTTCATACATGCACTGTACTTTTCTGTATAAGATAAGCTTAAACAAGCTTATTATAAGCTAATTTTGTGAAACGAAGTTTCACAGAGTTGTCTTTTTATGCCGCTTCCATTAAGTTTCTCGCAATTGATCGCTGACGCTAACAACGGACGTAAGCTTACTTCACTGAACGGAATAGTACAGCACGTCATATGTTGCGAACAAAGAAGTGGGGCTATTAATCGGATTTCCGTTTCTACGGCAATTTCCTTGTCTACAATGTTTGATATCGCTTGGGATCTATTGTATATCTAAAGAGGAAAAGAGTTTTATCAATTCAGGGTTGTCGATAAGTAGTCTCATGTATTTTTATCATTTGCATTTCTTTACACATGCAAGGCCTCGGCATGCTATCAAATTATTGTTCGCGCTGCAAACACCAATACGCCAAAAGTCTTAATTGATTAGGTCTTAATAAACTTTACACGCATGTTTTCCTCCATAAACTTGTTATTTACATTTTGATCCGAGGGACCTAATTTTATGAGTTTACTTTTAAATTTGTAAGTTTTTATTGCCCCATCTATTTACTGGGGCTAAAAGAATAAGTTTCTAGAAGGTAAATACAACTGGAGTCAAGTTTCTTGCACAGAGGTGGCAGTCAGCCAAAAAGCAATCAACTCTGTGACCATCCAGATATAAATAATCGACAAGCTGTCTGAACTTACAGATCGATTAACAGTGGGAACCAAGAGTTCAGTTTCAAGACTTAATATGTTATTTATAGTTTCTATGACAAATACTTGTAATGATCATTCAATAGCCATTTTCAAAAAGAATTGAGATTGTTTTTCACTTCTTGTCACTTGAATTTGTTGGAGCGGTTTTCAACTGAGTGTCATAAAATCAGAACCTAACTAATTTCTTATCAATTAGACTACTCAGCCAATCTCAAAGCGTAGTAAAACCAAAACCAAATGTTGAAAGTAATTGCCTGATTATTTTCGACACTCAACTGAAAGTCTCTCTAATTTGCATTTGCTTTGGTCTTGGACTACAAATTGATTGGCTTGCAAAACTAGTGTCAGTTTGTGACTCACATTTGCCAATTATGAGTTGCTTACACACATTTTCCTGACTTTGGACTGTGCTCTGTGCCAGCTACATGCATTTGCTCCAAGTGTTAATTGATTCACTGGATTGTCTGCATAATTTGTGATTGACAAGATGGAGTGATTAATATGGTTTTGTTTTTACGACGGTCAGTTGAAAACCACTCTATAACTTAACTAGTAAAGTTGTGCTATCAAGTTCAGTCAACTCAAGCGTGCATCATAATCCAGTGATACATGCTCTGAGACTCTTGTGTTGAGCAAATGGTGTCACAAGTCAGTTTGTGTTTTGTCTCAAGACCAACCTAGGTCGGTGGTGTAATAAAACAACAATTTCTCAAGTGAAACTAGATTCTTAGAGCCCAAACAAAGTTGTTCCCTACGTAGACGAGTTGTCCCTAAGAGAACTTTTTACAAGGCAGGTAGGGTTATCCTGGCGCTTGGGTAACCCTAGTACTCAGCTAGGGTTACCATAGCACCAGGGTAACCCTACCTGCCTTGTAAACACATCTATGAAAAAAAAACCCAGGAGTGGTAAGGTAACCTCTCACTTGGGTAACCCTAGCACTTGTCTAATGGGTGCTTACATTCTTTGTAATTTTGAACAATTTAGCCCTACACTACAGAAAAATTATTGTATCCCGTAGGCTCATTTTTATGGACAATTAATTGTACCAATTTGCTATTTCCCCTTTTGATTAGGCAAAGCTGATATTTTTGAAGTCTGATCAGAAACTGAAAGATTAATCCTGTACTAATAAGACAATAAAATAGATTAATCTTATAACTACAGCATGCTTAAAAATGTTAAATCCTAAATAATAGTGTTTCTCACAAAAGCGTGTGATATTACGTTATCCTATTAGTCTGAGTTCTGGTGCTAAACTCAACAGTCTCCATTGATCATTATGTACATAGCCCCATGCATAGAGTCTTTATTGACGGCTAGACGTGGAACAAGCCCTGCAGTTTTTGTTTTAGGTTAATTTTCTCTGCAATGCCTGCTATATCACTACAGGACTAAAGCATTAGAATAGAGTGTTTTCAGATCTGATACTATAGAGCTGCAAATGGAACATTCTAATTCCTGTTTTTTTCTGCGAAGTCTATTCAAGCAAGACAGGCCAGTCAATTGTTTTGTAAAAGATCTTATTTAGCTGTTAGAGTATTTTAACCTGACATAAGTTTTGGGTTCAGTAATATCAGTCGTTATAATGAAAGTTACCAGTAAATAGTTGCACAATGGAAGTAAGAATTTGTTTGGGTAAGGCAGACTAGACATAGCAGATGATTAAAAATGTGAGTGATAGGTACAATATGACTGGGTGATCTGTCTGGGAATTTACATTTGTGTTCAAGCCAAAGGCTCAATGGATTCATTCCTTTTTTTGAATTGTCAATGAATTTTACAAAATGTGGGACTATATGTTAAATGTTCTAAACTACAAATGATTAAGAAGACCTGAAAGTTTATAAATAATCAGAGCAATAAATGTATTTGTGTCAAATCTGTTGATGTATACACATTGCTATTTACACACAGTGTTAGGTATACACACACGGCTGTGTGCATAATAAGGGGAAGAAGTTAATACTCACGAGACATTTGGCGTACCATTCAGTAGGAATTACTGATCAGGTTTCTTTGGCTTGTCAGACATATGATACCAGACACCCTAGGACTTTTCCAAACAAGTAATTGAAATGCATTTTATTCTTTGGTTCATGAGACATTTGACATATCATACTCTGCCTCCTCCACAGGCTTTTCTGATTTCTTTCTCAGCAGAAGGGGCAATTGGGCAGTTTTCCTCACCAGTTAATTGTTATATTTTTTATTATCATGTGGGTGACTGGGGATGAGGCAGTATCATACAGGAGACACTGATGATTATAGTTTATGGAATTCTTTCATTGGTCTACAAAGCTCTCAGTGGTGGTATGCCTGTCGATGTCAGGGATTTTCTTAGTTACATATGTTACATATCCTCAGAAGCTTTTAGTAACTCCCAATGTTAGTTAGACTGAAATGTATGGAGAAAGAGCCTTGCCATGCATGGCAGAGTTGAGACTGGAATACCATCAACAATTCCCTTATTGTATCATCAATCTGAGGTCTAATTCTAATGACAAATTGACCAGTTAAAACATTGAATAACCTTTTTTAGCCAACCTTTAATTATATCCATAATTGTTTCTATTATTTTCTAAAGGCCTATTTTTAACTTACCTTTTTTTGTTTATTCTTTTATGGCTGATTATCTTTGTTTGTTTAAGGACGGTGCCTACTTTTGTTAGTGCGCACACGTTCTGCGCATCACGCAAGGCAGTTTTAAGCGCAATGCACGCGCTGGGGTTGACATTGACGCAATCAACTACACTACCAAGTACACGACTAAAATGAAAGCAAAATTTTCCCACTGTGACCAAATCAAGTTTAATAAACCTGCACTTAAACCAGGAACACCAGAATAGCAGCATATCGCTAACTACTAACTGTTAACGTCTTCCAGCTGAAAAACTAGCTGTTATCTGTTGAAAATTATACTGAAATCCAACTGTAAACATGTACCTGCAGATGGCCTAGTGCACGCACAAAACAAGTTCAAGATACGCAAAGGTTTTACTTACTGGGGAGGTGACAGGAAAATATGTAACAGGCACCGTAAAAGCTTTCAAAAAAGATCAATAACTTTAAAAAACACGTGGCTACCCCTACATTGTATGTTTTGAAATGGAAGTGGCAAGCCTATTCAACACGTGATTAGTTTCTGGTTGTGAGCAAAAGGTATTTAGACTGTATTTTAGCTGAACCAGAGGAAGGCTGTCAGAGACCCTAAAAGCGCCGTTGCAACAATTTTGTTATTAAAAACATACCAAAAATGGTTTTTATGTTACCATTTACCATGTAGTTGGAAGATCTTTATAATTGTGTTGCTTTTCTGTCTGTAAAGGCGAATTCTAAGGAAATCTGTCAAAAAATATCCTGTCCTTTTTTCAGAAAAATGCTGATGTCAGCATTTTTGTTGAGATTTAAGGCTAATTATCTTGAAAAAATGCATGGTTACCCCTATTTTTCTTCAGGGATTCCCGTAGCCCTTGCAAAGATCTACTTTTTCTGCGTGGTCCTAACCTGGCGCAAAAACCTTTGTATTTAGTAGGCACCGTCCTTAAATTGCCTTTTTAAATTATTATTTAACTGGGCACCTTGTGGACTCTGCTGTAGAAATGCTGTTTGATTGTGGTAATGACTTTTTTATTCAACTGGTATGAGTAATTCACAACAGAGTCAAATAGTGACTGGGGCTTGCCCAAACAGGTAATAAATTGGTCTGCGAGAGGGGGGGGGGGGGAATACTTGAACCATGTTTGGGTATAGGGGTGCTACCAAGGGTTTGAAATCTTCACCGTGAAAAGTACGCTAAGGTCACCTTAACCCTCTAATTTAAGACCCTGGTTAGGACAAGAGAAGAAGTCACGAAGTCTCAGGCATGATGTAACATATGTAAAGGTTGAAACCAGAAATGCAAAGGTCCTTCGCAAGATGATAGCAATTCAAAGCGAAAGATAGCTATGAAATGACAAACCAGCTAATCACCACCACTAACAAGTACTCTTAATTTGAAGCACTTTGTTATTGTTATTGTTTAGTATGTATAAATAACAGTCAAAGTTATGTTTAAGGTTAATTTTATTTGAATCATCAAACATTAACTTTACAGGAAAAGTATCCCTAAACAATATCGTGTACAGTGGGTCATGCACTCTTAGCTGTGCAACACAGTGATATCTTTCTGTCATCATGATATATCCAACACAAGGAAAGTAGAGTGGCGGGTAGACCAGTACTCTGTCTGTACGTGCTTGTTATGATGGTGATTAAGTGGAAAAATAATGTGAATTAGAGGATACTGACAACAAGTGCATACTTGATAATGATCTGATCTTGACTGATGACGTTGTGAAGACCGGTTGACATCTCTGATCTCGGACTGATCATGTAACCATACCCTGTTTAGGACAGGTTCCAACCTAGTTGAGGACAGAGGTACGTTTACAAGTAAAATTGTGTACCCTGTTCAGGACAGAGAGCCAAAAAAACCATTTTGGCCAGCAGTACATCACTGCATTGGCCGATAAGGGAGTACCCCCGTCTGTAAATTAGGGGTTCTAAGTAATCTGAATAATCAGGGGCTTTTTATAGGATGACAAGGTAAGATTGCTGATTAATGAGATGTTTTACTCTTCATTCATTTAGAGGTCAATGGAAGCCTCCACAATGGTAGTCAGACTGCTCTTTATTGGGAGCTTTCTGATGATGTGTTCTCCAGTCATCTCTCTGTCATGTATTCCATGCTCGTGGGTGCGGTGTAGTACTCCTGTAAACTGTAAGGGTGGCCTGGTAAAGTCCATTTGTGGCTGCTGTAATGTTTGTGCCAAGGTGGAAGGAGAGAGATGTGGTGGTCAGTGGCAGACGCTAGGACGCTGTGACTCTGGTCTGAAATGTGTGGTAAGGGATGGACATCTAAAGGCAGCAGAAGGCACATGTGAACCTGGTAATTTTTTTGTTTCCTTACAAATTTAAATAATATGGCAAATGATACAACTGATGAATACAGCAGTCCCGATATTTAGATGGACCTATCCATAGAATGTTATTTTAACTATAATCGAAACAAAGCCTCACAAAATTGGAAAGGACACGGTGAAGACATCGAGATTAAGAAGACACCAAAAGATTGATGTCCTATAAATAAATAAATAATAAATAAAGTGTCTTTATTGTTCAAAAGATAAAATTACATATCTTATGTTACATTAAAAATAATAATGTTAATGGGCTACAATATGTCTCTAAATAAGATAGATATTTACATGGAAACAAATACAAAAATCAAATACAAAAAGTACACTATTTACAAAGTTACATTGTATTTAAAAACTATCCTATTAAAGAATGTATTCTTGAAACGGTCCGAGTGAATGGCGGGCATTGCAGAAGATTTATTCCTTAAGTTGTGTCTTGTAATCTTAGTCTCAGGGAAATTAGCTCTAAGTGGGTGGTTTGGGATATTACAAACCTTCCTACAAATTCTATAATCTTGCACTTTAAGTAATTCACCTATCTCTAATTTCTTGGATATATAACTGCGTTTAAAGCATCGATCTAAAAACTNGTTGCTGCCATGGCAACACTTTTGGCTCCAGTCTCTTTCTGTGAAAAACCAAATATGCCAATTTACAACCCTTCGAAAAAAGACAGAGAGTCTTACTTGGAACACACATGATTCCGACATTGTCTTAACTCTCCCCATTAGATTGTTGGGAGTGGATGATCCTTGTTTAAGATAAAATCTGGTAAGGTTAGTTTTAATTAAAACAGGACCAGCAGCGCAACTGTTGTCATGGCGACGGCACGACAGGTGTCATTTTGTTTCTTTTGTGATGTACATTTCTGGTGCCAAGTTTAAAGAACACTGCTTTAGTATTTCTAGAGATATTCTTGATTGAGTGTTGAACTGTTTTAGTGGAACCACCTATGATATCATCACTTAGAGTACAAAAACGTGAATATCTCTAAAACGAAAAAAGATATTCCAAAAAAGAAAACGCCATTCTTCTTTACTTTGAAAAGCCTTTCAAATCAGCAGCAATTATTTTTTACTTCATAGGCACTTTAAAGATAACTCCATTCTGCAAAGTGAGCTCTTCTTTGAATGGGAAGTAGTCTTGGAGTTCTGGGGTAAATGAGGCTTGCTTTCTGGCCAACCTTGCTTGATCACATTGGCGAGGGCCTTGAGAACGAGATCTGCGTGGGTGCATTCTTGAATCCTACGCAGTGTGTCCTCTCTCACTGGCAGATGGTGAAGCATTTTGATCTCTTCTACTTCTTTTTCTGTCGGAGACCTGGTGTCTGAGACTGCGAGCACGTCTTCTTGACCCCCAGTGAATTCCTGGTGTGGCAACTAAGCCCAGCTCAGGGTGTCGGCCATGAGAAGCAAAGTTCCTCTTTTGTAGGTAACTTCAAATTCGTATCTTTGCAGCCTCAGCAGCATACGCTGTAGCCTCTTTGGGGCATTGAGAAGACTCTTTTTGAAAATTGCTTCTAGTGGCTTGTGGTCTGTCTCCACCAATACTTTCCTACCATAAAGGTAAGTTTTGAACTTTTCCATGCCGAATACTATGGCGAGCAGTTCCTTCTCAATTTGGGCATACTGAACCTCTGTGGGAGTCAGGGATCTGGATGCAAATGCAACAGGTTGGCCGTTCTGCATTAAACATGCACCCAGGCCATGCATGGAAGCATCACACTGTAGGACCGGTTCTGTGTTTGGGTTGAAGTACTTCAGGACCAGTGTACTAGAGATAATCCTCTTTGCTTCGTTTAGGGCAACACCATGAACTTGTTCGTCCCAGAGAAATTCTGTGTCACTCTTGATGAGGTCACGAAGTGGAGTAATAATTTCTGACAGCTTGGGAGCAAACTTCTGTAAGTAATTCATCATTCCCAGGAAACGTTGGACACCCTGTTTGTCAGACGGTACCAGCATCTCTCTGACTGCTTTAACTTTCTCGGCGTCTGGCTTGAGCCCGTCTGGAGAGAGCACATGACCCATATAAGAAACTTCTTTTTTTCGTAGCTGTAACTTCCCGCTGTTTAGCTTTATGCCTTTGTCCCTGCACCGTTCTAAGAGTCCAGTGAGGTTCTTGTCATGATCTCTTGTAGCTTGTTCATCTGTTGCTCCACAGCCAAACACAAGAATGTCGTCAGTGCTTGGTCAAGTCTGTGCTGGAATTCTTCAGGAGCAGGTGAGATGCCAAATGGCATTCTTAGCCATTGATACCTTCCCCAGGGAGTACCAAATGTAGTTGCATAACTGCTTTCTTCATCGAGGGTTACATGCCAGAACCCATTTTGTGCATCTAACACTGTGAAGCATCTTGCATTTGAGTGGTTGGGGAGCACATCTTCAATTGTTGGTAGAGGATAATGATTTCGTTTAGGGGCTAGGTTGAGTGGCTTGGGATCCACGCACAGTCGGATGTTGCCATTCTTCTTCATGGTGATGACAGTTGCAGATATCCAGGCGGTGGGGACATTCACTGGGGTGACAATGTTACGGGTTTCCAAGCGGTCTTGCTCTTCTCTAAGCTTCTCTTTGATTGTGATTGGCACTTTTCTTGTGGGAAGTTGTACTGGTGGTGCTGTTGGGTCAATCTCAAGGTGTAGGTCACCCTCTAGCTTGCCATCCCCATTGAATACGTCTGCAAACTCTTTCAATATGCACTCTTTTGTTAGAGTAGGTAAGTCTCTGGCTTTGTTCTGTAATGACGCCTGTGTCTGAACTGATAAGATGTTTTCGTTAATCACTGAGATGAGATTCATTTGCTCGCTAACTCGCAGACCCAGCAGCGGCTTGCAGTTGCCCTTCACCACTACAAACTCCACGCTGTATTTCTTGCCCTTTTTTGGATTCACAACTCTGACTCGTTTCTTGCCAAGGGGCTTCTCTGTTTTGTTGTACATGATGAGGGTTACTTCTGTGTTGTCTAGAAGGGGCACACTGTCTTCTCCATATGGCTGTTTGAATGTTTCTTCTGGTAGAATGTTCACCGTGGCCCCAGTATCCAGCTGAAATTGCACTTGTTGGTCATTAAGTACCATGGTAGCAAATAGTTTATCCTTTCGATACTGATTCTCGACAGCACACACTCACTCCTTCACATCTACACTAGCAACATATTCGTCAGAGTCTGAGTCCTCCACTGCGTATACAGGCTTGCGGTTGCACCTAGAAGGTGGAAACTTGACAGGTGGTTTGGCCTTCGCAGGGGTCTTTGCTTTGCACGGAACGGCAAAGTGGTTTCGCATGCCACAAGATGAGCAGGTCTTGCCCCATGCTGGGCACTTCAATTTGTTCCAAGCATGTGTTTTGGTACAGAATTTGCATTGATTCTCTCTCTCAATAGTGGGATCAGGCTTCTTGTCACGGGACAGTTGTAGAGCATGGACTTCCTCTTGATTAATTTCCTTCAGTTGCTGGCTTGTAGTTTTGTACGACCTACAAAATGTCAATACAGTCTTTCAAGGTGAGTTTGGATACCTGAAGAAGCTTCTTGCGGGCTTGATTGTCTTTTACACCAATGACAATCCGATCTCTGATGAGGCTATCCTCCAAAATGCCAAAGTTGCACGTTTTTGCCAAAGTCCGAAGTGCTGTGACGTAAACGTCCACGGATTCGTTCAGCTCTTGGTCTCTCTTGTTGAATTTATATCTCTCGTAAATCTCATTGGTCTCTCCAGTGCAGTAGCTCTGTAGCTTTTGGAGAATGACGTCGATATCATTTTTCTGTTCTTCGCTTTCAAAGTCTAAACCATTGTAGACATCTAGAACATTGGACCCGATACAGGTGAGTAGAGGGGCGGTTCTAAGCGATTTATTTACATCAGGATGCTCAGGATCTGTAAGCCGTCCAGCGATCTCATAATTATTCCAGGCTCGGTGAAATTTCTTCCAGTTAGTCGCTAGGTTGCTGCTGAGCTCTAATTTTGACGGTAATGGAATATTTATTGGGATTTGTACTAGTCTTGGCTGCTCGAGAGTTCCAGATGCCTGGGCCGTTGCGCCGCTTTCGACTTTGGGCTTCAGTGGCATGTTTCATCGGGCGAAGATTCTTTCGCGGAGAAATTTCCTCAGAAAACAAAAAAACAACCCGCAGTAATTTTTTCTGTCGGTAGAAGCCAAGTAGACGCTTTCACAACTTGCAGTTGAGTCCAGAAATGTCAAATTAAATCTTGCAAATCGGCTCAATCGATCAATTCGCCACGTGGTTTAAAACAGATCTTCCAATAACTCACGTTCTCGTGGACTTGCGGCCAGTTCGTCAACGACAGCAGAAAGAGGCGATGCGTCTCCACTTCTGACACCATGTAACGTTGTCCAAAGAAACAGCTCCAATGATAAAGGGCACAGAAGTTCCAGATAAACACAACACTATTTATTGAAGTCTTTGTTGAGTGTACAACGAAGATGCGAGCAACATACGGGGCTTTAGTGACAAACCCATGCCCAGGGCCTGGCGCTAATCATGCATAAATAAACATTGTTACACTCCTGTTCAGTTGCAATTTTGCGCCTAGTTTTCGACTATAAACTAGTGACGGAATAAAAATGTCAATTTTTCGTTGTCTTAATTACTATGTAAATTTCAGATAATGTGTACTCACAGCATCTGTTGGCCAAGTATCAACCTACACTATGGGTTGCCATCTTGACCAAGTTTTGGTAACAGCTAAGCGCACTGAATGCGTGAGCTAAGTGCACTGAACACCCCCTCAATCACACTTCACTTACCTCACCACTGACAAATCGCTGACAAATCGCTGACGAATTCCACCCTGCTGACGCGATTTTGAGGATGGCGTCATCTTCACCACTTTGAGCCCCCAGGCCCAAAGTGGTGAAATTTTGATGACGTCACAATTTCTCGAACTTTTATTGGCAGCCATTTTGAAAAAGGGGCTTGGCTAGGACACTTGGGACCTTCTTATACTACTCCATTTAGTAACCTTGTAGCAGAATAACGTTAAGTGTATTACAGTCCGTTTTGCATTTTCTAAAAGCTAAAGATACAAACAGTTGTCTGAAATAACAATAGAAACACTTTCTCATGGGAACTCGAGAAAGTAAATTTCAAAGTTCAGAGAAATTGTCTGGTAAAACACAGGTAAAATTTTATCATCAGTTTCATTTGACCTGTACTTTCAAGTGTTTCACATATTAACTTCAAAATTTGTTTTGTACATTCAGTGTTGTTAGAAATGATTTCTTTTGAGAAGATATTTAAAACAGTCACACAGAAGTTTCCAATACAATGTAAATGATCTTGGTAAAGTGTTTTTGTCCACTTGTTACTCAAACTTTTGATAGATTCCTTCTTAACACCTAAGCTTAAGTATATATCTGAACTGAACGTCTTTAATCTGCATTTGTAAATGGCAACAAGATAAGTTCTGCCAAAACATCACGTTATAGCATTTACTTCTCTTTTAAATTGTTTTCTTTGTAACTGTGTCTCTTTTGGGAATTGAGGGACAAAAGAAACTTGAAAAATTTGTAATTTTGTCGTGAAAGCCTCGGAGCCATGCTAGAATATTGATATATTGAACCTGGCCAAATACCTGCCCATTTTGTCAAACACGTCCATTTACACAAACAGGAAGCATTATTTGACTAAAGGATAAAGTATACAGAAGACGTTCTAAGTAAATGATTCTTCATAATATGCCCCTGAATCTCCAAAACCCTAATACATTTGAGACTTGTCATGTCATGTCACATGGCGATCGACATAAGCAATGGCTTACCTCTCCAGAAACACTTTCTCGATGTTCATGCCTGCTCACAGGCCAGTTCAGAATCTTAACAACGAACTAAAGTACTGATAGGTACTTTCACACCGTATCAAATTGGGAAAAGCTCAACATTTGCAAAAAATTGACACCTTGAAGAATCCAATATGGTGGACGGAGCTCCAAGGAGTATGGTAATTTTTTGCTTGCATAAATTTGCATGTACAAATATGACACCAAACTTAGAAATGGAGCCCATTTTACAACTCATGTGCCATACTGTGCATGAGTAAAAAATTCCTTGCTTGATAGAAGGAGTCTCTTGCAAGATCCACTTGCACATGAGACTTGCATGCATGTTACAGCATAGCTCAGGTGTTGTTAATTAGAGGTTACAGGTGTAATACAGTCAAGCCTCTGCTAACCGCCACCACCCTACAACTGCCACCTCTCTACAGTGGCCACTTTTTTTCATCCCGGCAGATGGTCCAAACATTTACTCTTATTTTAACCTCTCTATAGCTACAACGGCCACCTATCCACAGCAGCAACGTCCACTAAAGTGCATCCCAACTGCAAAAATAACCTCTCCACAACAGCCAGTTAATCAACGACTGATGAATGGTGTATACAAAACCCCATTTTATATTGTAAACCATTACCAAAACTTGATCCGTACCACGCATAGTTGGTCTCTGCTTCTGTTTGTTTTCTATTTTACTGATATATTTTGATTGTGTTAGGTATTTTCATGCTACAATAAGAAATTATTATTATAAAAATGTTGTACCCCAGGAAAAAAACAGGTGTCATTTTACACCCCTACCTCCCCATAATGGCCGCCTCTCTATAATGGCCACTTTCGAATTTTTCTGTAGAGAGGTTTGACTGTACTTTAATTTAAGGGCAATAATTGGAGCATACATGAGCTAAACAAAGCAGGGTGCATATGTGTGTCATAGTTTTGATTTCAATACATCAGGTTGATTCATTTACTTTTCAGCTGTTTGCAAGGGAAAAAAGTGTGGCTTTCGCAAGGTTTGTACTAAAGGGAATGATGGTTTTCCTTTCTGCACCTGCCCTCAAGCTTGTAGTGGTTACAAGCATAAGCCAGTATGTGGATACTCTAATGGAAAGCAATTCAACAATGAGTGTGAACTGCACAAAGAGGAGTGTGCTTCTGCTAAAACCATAGGAGTCATGGCAGGACCTTGTAAAAGTAAGCTGAAAGTCCCTGTGATTCTGTTTTCACAAATTATGAAATCATTATTTGCTACTGTTTTTCTATTTATTTACAAAAGATTTTTTTCACTTACAATTAATTCTTGTTGGTAAGAGATTTATTTATAGATTTATAGTCTTGCATTGATAATATATCAGTAAGCTGATGTACCATTGTTAGTAAGGATGATATATGTGATAGCTAATTAAGTAAATTAAATAACAAGTACATAATCTTGCAGCAAGTTTAATTAATTTAATGGCTATTTTTTTTGGCATTATAAAAAAAATAGCAGGAAAGTGTTCGCTGCAGTGAAGTGCATGTAATTCCTTTCAATTTGCTTACCTGGTGCCCATGTCAGAGTCTAATGTATTGAAATAACGGATCAGTTGGATATTAATTTTTTCAACTTCAACTGTGATGCCACAGTAAATTGCAGGCAGTTTGTCTTGTGTTTGGTTTCTTTTGCCTTCCTCTTCTACATTTGCATGTACCCTGCAACCTTTGACATTTTCACTTTGAAACATTTGTCCTATGCTTTAAAATTGACGTGGTGTATAGTGAACAAAACATTGTGATCAGAGTGTTAGGCCCATTCTAATCACGGCACGTAGCTAACACACTTGGTTGCATGATGATTGCAACAGCACAGTGTATCCTGCACTTCTGTGAAAGCTGCTTTCACATTGATTTTCTTTTGTTTGGTAATGTTGTTTTTATCTGTTCTTCCATTAATTTTACTGTTGTATATGCTTCTTTGTACCTAAATGTAGAATTATGTTGATCATCGTGCATCAAGAAAATACTGAAGAAGAAAAAAATCAGTGGAAAAAAAAACAGTGACCTAAAATTAAGATCTGGCAACCAAAATTTTGGGATGAGTCTCCCGGTCAGTTGGCTCCTTAATTATTGAAAAAAAGTTAATTTGAGCCCTGGAGTGCCTCCTAGATGCCACCTGCGGTCCATTCATAACAAACCTGTTCTGCACTGACATGGTCAGCAGTCCACTTCAAATTGCCCACATCCATTGTGGAAAACCCTGCATCATTCTTGATATTAGTTTCCTCCACGGCTCCAGTCTGTCAACAGTGGTATCCCTTCTGACACCTACCTCAATGAGCCCTTCACTTTATGGTTACCCTATGGTATCAGTGCATGCATCCACATCATCTGTCTTTAAGGGACTGATTTGCACCTCTTCAAGATGGACTTACCAGTAAGTCGGGCTTACCATCAACACTGTATCAACCCTTGTGACCTTCACCTGCAAGGTTATCATCACCAAGATTACCCATACATGTACTTTGACTTAGCTCTGCCTTTTGGTCTTTGTTCTTCAGCCATGATGTGTCAATGCTGTGACCTACTTGTTCCACACTCTCTAATAGAGCTGTACCAATTATATCGACAATTTCAGTGGTGCAGAGACTCCAGACAAGTCCACCACAGCCCTCAATGCTCTTGGTGACCTTTTCCTCTCCCTCGGTCTTCAATCATCCCTAGATAAGGACTGTCCACCGACCACTGCTATGGTCTTCCTTGGTATCCACCTGGACACCCTCACCATATCCATGTCGTCACACCAGAACACCATCAAGAGCTCCTCCTTCATTGTTCCTCAGTAATTTCTCTCCCTTGCATTTCACGCCATGACTTACAATCAGTGCTAGGGGATTGTCCTTCATTACAACCTGTGTTCACCATTTTCAAGTTGTCAACCTTTTCAACACACTTCACACTTACCAGGACTCTTGCCGCTGCTTTGTTTCTGACGGCAAGTCAGACCTTGGCAGATGGTGCCATTTCCCGCCACTCTACAATGATCCCTGGCACATCTCCACTGATGCTGGCAACACTGGCACTGGTGGCTGTTTCAACATTGAATACATCCTCGCCCCATTCTTGGGACCCATCCTTCCCTGTTCTGGTCACAACATTAGCATCCCGTAACTCTTGTCTATCATTATCTATCATTTTGACACCAATAGGCTTTTCACGAACCCTTTGGACAGCACCTTTCATGAAACCCAATTCAAGGAGCTGACTGGGCACACCCCCATTGCTCACATGGCTTTTCCTCTCAGATGTTTTTCCTCTCAGATGTTTGTTTAAAACATCTCTTAGGAACAGCAACCCACCAGAAATGTCCTATCACACCCACTATACTCCTGAAAATACAGTGTCATCTGGATACCAACCTTCCTTTTTACTCCATAATTTGGGGATTATTGTGCACCGCTTTCTTTTCTTTCCTTTGCAAATCAAATTTGACAGTCACCCCGACCACTTCCTTTGACCTTGGCCACCATGTTACTCACCAAGGGGTTGAGTTCACTGTGTCCAGAGCATTTCTTCGCATTCGTTGGAAGAAAACTCTACAAGACAAGGAGGGCGTCCTCCTTGTTCTGCTTTCCAGCATTCTAGGTTCCATGCTCTTTCCCTCGTCTGCCGTCCTAAACTTCTTTACGCTAATCCCAGCTTCATCAGCAGCACTTTGTTGTGCCTTTCAGCCACGTTTGGCTGCCATCCTATCACCTTCTCCACCTTAAGTCACTGCCTAAAATGCCTTATCTCAATCAGTGTCCTCAATCCTTCTCACTAATCTCCTCACAGCTTTTGTCATGGTTGTGCAATGTTTGCCTTCCACTGTGGCATTCTAGAGCACCTCATAAAGCTACAAGCTGACTGCCAATCTGTGCATACCTGGCTCTCCCACTGGTGTTCTGCACCCAGGACCCAGGTTGCAAATGTCATGGTGGCAGGTTTATTTTCAACACAACTTAACTGAACAGTGCACAGTTTTGTATGCAATTTCGGGACATTAATCTTTTATGCAAGCTTTATTAGATTTCTTCTTTTCACCTTTTTTTAAATTTTTTTTTTCACAAAGGTTCTATTGCATTTTGGGCTATTTTGGGCTTTGATTCTTATTAAACAACAATATTTCAGCACAAATGCGTGTCTTCATTGATTGTTAAATAACTGTATTTTGATCAAGGATCAAATAGGATAATTATTACTTGATCTATTACATCAGACCTTTGGGGTCTTAGATTTCCTCACGTCATGCTCTGTCTCTACAACCACCAGCAACCTCTCTCTACATTGGGGATTTGACAACATTATTTCAGCCCAAATGCATGTCTTTATTGATTGTTTTGAAAGAATTGTTGGGCCTTACATTTATAAAATCTCAGCTGATGAATTAAAGGTCCTTCCGGCCTGGTTTGTGAAAAGTTGTGCTATGCATTTTTGATGAACATTATGCGGTCATTTCATTTGAATCAACTGATTTTTTTTTTAAGTAATCTGTTATTGCCAATCATAGTTTTCAAAAAGAGGAGAAGTCGAAGGCCTCTGTTTTCAAAACCAGTGTGATTGAAATGAATTTATTCATTTAAATAATTATATCATATGTTCTTATTTGTAGAGTGTTTTGATGGTACAAAGACATACTCATTTGGTGAGAAAAGAACACGAAAAAACTCATGCGAACAGTGGTAAGTTGATATAGTGCTATTTAACAATTATTCGCCTCAGACCCAGTGAAAATTGGTGAATATTCACCGAGACCAAGTCAAGATGACTATTCACCAATGCTCACTGAGCCTGAGGTGAATAATTGTTTTAGCATAATTTTCAGAGATGAATATCAAGGACTGCAGAAAAATGGACTAAAACATACAAACACAGAAGCAAAATTTGTTTGTTTGCATACAGGTACGCAGCTGTTATTTAATTAATAAGCTTACATGTACATCAATTAAGAATCAGTTTACCAACGCTTTTACCGGTTGGTAAAATGCAGTTAATGGAACATGACACCCCTTGAGGGTTAGGCTGTTTTCATTCATCATGCAATCCAGTAGCATAAACAGTAGTACCAAACTGTGGACAGGTGCACAAAAACAAACCTTCAGCTTCAAACGTACGACCGCGTCTGCAGCCCAATGTCCTAACAGAACAGACTGATACGGAGAACCTCAGTTCCGACGAAGAAGGACGGTCAGACATTGACTCAGCTGTCCAAGAACTGTTTGAGGACTTTGAGCCACAAGTCTTCCAGGATACAGTGTTTTTGCCCGCTCAGATGTCGGACATCCAGGAGACCCTGTTGACCTCGGTTAACGAAGTTTTGCAGGTCTTTAACAATCAGGAGGCCCAAGCACATTTCTTGGACAATCTTCATGCTCCTAGTCCTCGCACTCTGAACACAGCAATTCCTCTGGGCCTGCATCATCCTCTGGAAAAAAGCCTTAAAGACAAAATACTCCGTGGTGAGTATATTGACTTTTATTTGTTACTGCCCAACTTTGCATATCGCTCTCAGGCCCCTGCCCTGCAGTCACACCATGAGGACTCATCCCCAGGCTCCCAGCGGTCCCCGCTAACTCTGGTTAAAAGGAGAAAGCCAGTGATTGACACACGCTTGTACTGTCTACGTGCTAATGATCGTCACAGTCTCATACGTGTGCCTTAGAATTAATCCAATACCAACAAACTATCAGCAAAGCAGTCAATAGGTTTAAGGGCCTAGCCTGGGTTACCTACGACGAACAGTTGAGACACCACGTTGCCTACGACCTTTCAAAAGCCTGGGAAAAAATCAATCGTGAACTCTGGACAATCACCTTCTCTGGCCTAGCTAAGCCACCTTGTTCTGTGTGCTCTAGCCTGTACCATCAGGTGGAGATCATCCCAACCAGGACCCAAGCAGAAAACCTCACCACCAAGCCCTTGTCTGCTTTGACTACAACAAACAATCTGGCTGTCAACCCCATTCCTGCCATTTTCTGCACAGTTGCCATTGCTGTGGCTCAGGTAACCATGCCCAGTTCAACTGCTCTGGTCCCAAACAGTCTGGAAGCATCAACAGACCAGCCAACCGCAGCAATCACAGCAAGAAATAATGTGGAGCAGTGCCAGCTGGACTACAACCCTACAGTATCCACCCTGCTTAATGTAGATAAATTAGCACTTGAATCACTTAATCACTCTAATAGCCCTTTTGTTAACAATTTAATCAATGTCCTCTGGTATGGTACTCACATTGGTAACTTTGACCCCACAAAACACAGGTGTTGTGTAATTTGATATCAGCCTCTCAACATCTTGACGTCATTTCTGGGAACTTAAATAAGGAAGTTTAGTTGGAGAGAATTGCAGGTCCCTTTCCCTCCTTGCCCCTACCTAACTTGCAGTGTCATCCCATACACGTAGTCCCAAAAAAGCACTCTGTTGAATGATGTACTATGTATCATTTTACCCTGAAGGGGATAGTATAAACGGCCACATCCCAAAGGACCATTATTCATTGCAGTATGCTTGTGTCGATGACGTGATCACCATACTGCGGTCTCTGGATCCTGGGAGTTTTATGGCCAAAACAGACTTGAACAAGGAATTTTCCAGGGATATCCAAATGTGGAAAGAATTTCTTGCTGAATGGAATGGGCAATCTTTCTTCCTTGATTCCTTTGTTACCTCTTCCCCTGACCTGCAGCTATATGCCGATGCAGCTAGTACAATTGGGTCTGGAAGCTTTTTCAATGGTAAATGGTTCCAGGGCAGGTGGCTCTCTCATTTACTCATTAACAGGACAAAAAGGGCAAGTATTGAATAGCAAGAACTCTTCCATATTATTGTTGCCTGTGCACTGTTGTACCCGCACTTTTCTGGCAAACGCCTTCAACTCTGGTGTGATAATCAGAGTGTTGTTGGTGTTATTAACTTGGGTCATTCCAAAGCCCCTAGGGTCATGGATCTGGTTTGTTTCTTGGTACTTATTTCTATGAGGCATGATTTCATGGTTAGGGCTCATCACGTTCCCTGGGCGAACAACGAGATAGCTGATGCCCTGTCCTGTTTTCAGGTTCAGTGATTCAGGGAACTCACTCCTGGTGCTGGCCAGACCCCCTGCACCATCCTGCCTTCCTTCATGACCCTCTGAAAGATGAAATTGTTAAGTATGCCAACTGGGCCTTGGCGTGAAACATGAACCGCACGTACACCTGTGGGGAGAAGTGTTTCATTCAGTTTTGTCTCAAGAACAGACTAACAACACCGACAGGTGACATTCTCCCAGCTTCAGAGAGAGCTCTTGTCTCTTTTGCTTCCTATTTGGCCTGGACAGTTTGCCATGGTACAATTAAGACTTATTTAGCAGCTGTGTGCAATCTCTGCATTATTTCTGGCTACAAAGACCCCTTGAGGGCACAGCTCCTCCTAAAAAAAATTTTAAGGGGAATTCTCTGTTATCAAAGGTCTCCTCGTATATGGAGACAACCAGTCACTCCGGGTGCACTATTAGCTATTTGCTCCCTCTTTCTTAGTTGGCTGGGGCCAAGGGATTTCTCCATGATATGGGCTGCCTTTCGTAGGTGCAGCAAGTTTACCCATTCAGGGGTACACAGTTTCAGTTCTAAGTTTAGTCTTACCAAGGAATGTGTTACTTTTTGTCCCTGTCTGGCCTGCCCACAGGGCTTGCTTGTTGCCCTCAAGTCTTCAAAAACAGATAGTTCTAGGGCAGGGCCAATCCCTCATCATTGCCTGTCGTCCTTCTTTGTTGTGCCCTGTCTCACCAATGCAACAATGTTTTCTCCTAGCCAAACCATGTTCGGGGCCATTGTTACATTTCCAGTTGGGTTGTTGCCACACCCAGTTCTCTGTCACACACTTACCTCAGGATTCTGCAAGAAGCCAAGAGCCTTAAGGGTCACAGTTTTCATATAGGTGGCATGCACTGCCATATTTGCAGGCCTACCAGACTGGTTAATTGAGGTGTTAGGTTGCTGGTAGTCAGATTGTTACCAGATTTATATACGCACTCCAGAATCCGTGTTACTTTCTGTCGCTCCAAAAATGGCTAGTGTCTCGGTCAATTTTCTTTAGTTGTGGCCTTGCTTTGGGGGGATGCAAGCCTTGCATGGATCTGTAGTGGTTAAGTCTGCGTAGCGACTTTCCCCAAGCTTTGGCATTGCTTGTATCTTGCCATCTCATATCCTGGCCTTTATCTTGTCTGATCCAGTCTGTGCTGGAGATAAGAAAGGCTCTGCCAATACTCTTGTTCTATTCCCACGTTAGTGGGTGAATAAGTGGGGCTTTTAGTTTGTGCACCTATCATGAAGTCGCATCAAATCTGCCACAGGGCTGTGTCCCCCTCAATTATGCCATGTTGTTTGCGTATTTTGTTGTGTTACCTTTTACCTGGTTGCGTTACATTCTACACTTAGTTTGAATAGCGGAATAGTGACATTAATAACACTTTTACTAGTTGGTAAAATGCAGTTAATAGAAAATGACACCCCTTGAGGGCTACAATAGCTGTTTTTGTTTGTCACACAATCCAGTAGGATAAACAGTAGTACAATACTCAATGCATATGCTCAGTTCATGAATGAACGTTCCCTTTTTCCAGCAGTGAGCACAAACACTATTCATGTTTGTATTTTAGTCTCTATCTCACCGTGTACTCTAGTGAAATATCACCTCCTCGATTGGCCCATACATTTATTAGCCCCATTCATTGCTAACAAGCTCACCACGTTGTGTCTATTTAGTTCATAGTACAGCTGTACCTATTGGTTGAACTTTGAGACACTGTCTTGCCATATAAATCTCAATATGCTGTCACAGGGCATTACCCTGGCAGCTTGCTCAAGAGTACACAGTTTGTAACAATTTAGTCTTAAAATTTCCCACCCTCCCTCCCTTGGAGAAAGAATTTCATTTGTTATTTGCCAATAAACTGGGTCACTCCTTATGGTTCAATTAAGTCTGTGTAGCGACTTACCCCAAGGTTTGGCATTACTTGTGTCTTACCATCTTATAACCTATAATTGCTTAATATTGTTCAAAATGAAGCAGAAAAACGCTTAGATCCCCAAATGATTTTGCCTGTTTTATTTGATAGCACATGTTTTCATGGAGAATGGAAATGTCGTACTACAGCTCCATGCCAACAGCCAAAGTCAAGAAGTTGCTCAGTTGCTGTGGATTCTTTGGGCAGAACACTTCAGTCAGACTGTCCTAAAGGCTATTGGTGCAAAGTTCAGATTCCAGGAATCCCAGAGGCCAATATTCCAGAAGTAGCTGTGTGCACACCTGAACATCCAACAAGTATGTTGACACAAGTGATGAAACTACAAATTTAAATCTGTATTAAGATTATGTAGTGTTGCTATATATTATTACAAGTTGTCCCACATTAGAAAGCCTCAAAAACTAAAAACTACAATACTATAAGACTGTAATAGAATGGTAGTTAGACATCAAAAACTAGCACCTTTAGAAAACTTAGACCTCACTTGACTTAAAGCTCATGAGACCTTGCATGCATAACTGTCTGAAATGTTTGATATTGCATAAGAAAAATTGTAGTTTTAATGCCAAATTTGTAAGCCAGGACTGGTTCCCATTAGGTGTTTGTGTAACAGTAGTATTAGGGGTTTCAACAAAATTTCACGTTGGCAGCTGGTTTGAGTAGTGTAGTCAACTGTGTCAACAAGCTAGGGGTTGTTTGGCTCCTCATTCTAGGGGGTCTTGGGGCATGCCCCATGTGAAGAGACCAGTCTGAAATAATTTGAATATGTGTTTTTTCAATTTTGCATATCCTATCTATGAGAGGTAAATTAAAACCTTCCTGAAAGATTTGTTTATACACACAAGAATGCATATTAACAGTAAACCTTTGGGGAGTTTGACTGAGTGCATGTATAGAGACTTGAAGATTGTCATATAAACACTGCAAATACTAATCAAAGGAATGGCATTATTACAAAATGATCTTCTTCAAAATTAACACCTTATGTCTAATTGTCAGGATCTTGCTTTTTTAGATATTGAAGGAGGGAGTGCTTCTTTGACTGGATCAGTGTCACCAACTTCACAATTAGAAGGTGATCTTACAGTAAAACTTAAACCTGTGGCCAACTAAAATATGTCTGGAATGTTCACTGTGTTATAACCAATCACAAGTGAGATCTTCAGACACCACAGAAACCACAGAAAAGGGATAAACCCATTGGTCATGAAACAAATATGTTGTGTTTTAAAATACATCCTCTGTCTTTGTTAGACAGGAAGTTAGATAATTACTGTCCCATCTTATTTAAACTCTAGGGAAGAGGGTTTGGGTGATTTTTAACACACAAAAAAACTATTTTCACAAGCTAATACAATGCACCAGCATGATAGATTGGTGAATGATTGATGTGGATGAGGCAAGACGCAATGAAGAATATTATTGAAAATGCAAATCTTGCTATAAATTTCTGTAATATGTCAATTGAGGTCAAATTTATTTGGGAAGGAATAGCGAAAATTGGGGTGTTTACTGTTAACCACATCATTCCAACATTAACAAACATTTGAATTTAAATTATCAGAAATCTTTTCAGTGTCGTTCGGTCACCAAACCAGATGGTTTGCCAAAGTAAATCAAGTGACAGCTAGTATAGTTCCACCAAAGTTGAAAGCAAGGTTTATGTTACCAGAAGCTAATGCATGCCAAATTGACCATCGTGTCGCTTGAGTAGCTGTTGCATTGGCTTGTACCGTATACTGGATGTGGCTCTCCATATTAAGGAATAGCAGTTATTTAGACTTTCAGTAATATCTTAAGACAAGGTTGCATCTTGGGACGAAGCGAAAACTAAAAACCAGTAAATCCCCATCTCCCTGTGGTTTCTGTGGTGTTCTGTGGCTTGTAATTCGTTACGACACAATAAACATTCCAGACATATTTTATCACAGTTCTATAAACTTGACAGTAAACAACAGGGACATACCAATTCATCTTCAAGCTTACCCATTTGCCATGTGTAAGTAAAATTACTTTTCTTGCTGCAATTATGAAACAGTCAAACCTCACTCTTGTGGACACTGCATTGACCACAGAAAGCATCTATGTTAACAAGTTTTGCCTGTCAAGTGGGTTAATTTAACAGAAAGTGCATTACACCTTTGCCTCTCACTCTGTTGAGAGGCAAATGCACCTTTAACATTGAACATAAGCTTCACTAGTGTTAGTGCTGCCATATGCTCAATGGTATTGACAGCTCTTTCAAGGGCACCACTCTCTTCTTTGAAGTTAACATTTGTGCAATATATCAATCCTCTAACAGTCAATTAGGCTTTTAATCCAATCTTCCACACCCTTCTTTACCCCTCCCCTAGCTCTTGTCCCAACTGCACTTTTGATACAGGTCTCTTGGAATATCACTGTGCCACTCACTGTTACTGGACTGATTAGTCCCATGGAGTCATAGACTTCTGCTGAGTCTACTGGTATAACTCTATGCCTGCCCATGATGTCACTGACAGAATTATCAACTCAGAAGGAATTCAACAACTTTGCTACAAACCTTGGGTCAGATATTTCATACTGTTTGACATTATGACGTGGCATTCAGTAAAAAAGGGGATACATTCAGTCCAAATACAACTCTGCAAAACCTGTAAGCAACAACTTGAGACAAATCAAGGGGTTTCTCCACCCACAAGAAGTGCAGGCAATCTCCATCCTGTGGGTCAACTTCCACATTTAAAATGGCCTTTTCAGTATCCCCTATCAGGACCACTCTATTTTCCCTGAATTGAGGCAAAATGTTATAAAGCAAGAGGGTCAGAGAGGGTTCAATGTGCAAACAATCATTCCAACATGCGACACTCTTACTGTCTTTCAAAGAAGCATCATATACCACTCTTGCCTTGGTAGTAGTGGAATCCTTGCAAAAAACTGCTTGGTGACGCAAGTAATGAATCCTGGGGGCCTTTTCCAACTCTGCTATCTTTTCTATCACCCCACCTCATAGCTGCTCTTCTATGATGTCCACATACTCTTTGAGAATCTCAGGATCCTTCCCTAGTCTTCACATCTGAGTTTTACGACGACACAAACTGGTTCCATAAGTACTGGGAAGTTCGGGAAAATGCTCCTTCCAAGGCAAGCAGACAGAGTATCTGGTCCCATTGAATGAGATGCTATTTTCAAATGACTCAAGAACCTGGTCAGTAATCTCTCTAATTTCTGGTGTCTCCAGATCCCATAATTGTTTGAACATCTTCTACATTTTCTTGCTCGTCAAGAAAGCTTGCAATGAAATTTATGTGGACAAAGTGTACATCACTGCATGTGTCATGGCCTTTCAGGGGTCCTGCACCCCAACTCTCTTTCCACAGCAACAGGTTCGTGAAACTTGCCCCTGATTGTACACCTTTTTGAAAATGCTACAATAAGTCTGCCCCGATTAGTACTTCTATAACCATCTCATCGCTTCCCTTATTCACATCAGAGAATCATAGCCCTTTCAATTTGGGGAAATCAGATTTAGCTAATTCCATGTGAGTATTTGGTATACTAGCTATTTCTGGAACTACATATGCCTCCATATTAATGAACGTGTCCCCCCACTGTGAGACCCACTTTGACTTGGACGACATCCCTTAGCTTCATATTCCTTGAACATTGCCCAAATGTACTTATTGCAAGCTAGTATTGCCTGGCAACAGAAAGCCACGCAAGCAAAGCAACTCTTGCCGTGACAAATGAATGATGGTTGCCAGCATCAAACAAAACTCTAACCCTTTGTGGCTGATCCTCCCCAGAGGTGACTGCATGGTCAGTCTGTGGGGCTACATGATCTCCCACACCCATGTGAAAACTACTGGGACTAGCGGTGGCAAACTTAACTACAATTTTCTTACATGCACATAACGGCTCCCACTTTCTTACAATTCTCAGATGTATGTCTTCTAAGAAAAGATGTGCAGTTCTCTATTTCCTGCTTTGTGTGAAATGTGTTGCTGTCCTTCCTGTTTTGCATATTTCCACCTGGGGCTGTAGTAATGGTCTTCCCCCAGTTCCAACTGTTCCCTCACTTCCAACCTTAAAAACGCATTTAGCAACTCCTCCATTGAGCAGTTGAGAAACTTGGCACCCCTCCTGATGGACAGGCGATATGTTTCAGGCAATTTTTGTAAAACAGCGGGAACCACCACAGCTGCAAAGGTGTTTTTGTTCACTCTGAGAGCCCTAAGACCTCTGATTTAAAATGAGACCCGCAACATATAATTTCCTCAAATATGCTGTATCCTTGTTGTTAAACACTGGTGCTAAATTTAGCTAATCATTCATAGGGGCTCACTATATGGCAATTTCCTTTCCATACTTTTTCTTCAAAACATAACTCCAGCCATATAATTTGCTGATGTCAAAGAGAATCCCACAATGGTTGATCTGGCTCGTTCAATTACTAAACTTTGCAAGAAAGCGAATTTCTTGACAGCTGTGAGGCTTTCATTTTGGTCAATGGTGCTTTCAAGAGCATCCCAAAATCGTCCTGTTAAATTTCTTTACTTCAAGCTTGGGGAGTCTTGCCTTTGTCTTGTTTTGCTGAGGGTTTAATTCTGAAACACCTGCAACATGTTGTCGCAAGGAAACGTAGCATTAATAGATGCCCTAGCTGAGGGCCATGTTGCGCGATACTGATTATTAATGCAACAATGTTGCATTAAAAATCGGTGATAAAAATCAGCTTTGGGTAACATCACCTTAAACAAGCCCTTGAATTTGCAGTCCTTGCAAATTGAAGTGTTTGATTATGCAATATGCATTGTTTTTTTTTTTT